GGAGCACTCCCTGCACCGCGTCTCCCTGGGGAGCCGGCGCGCGCAGCCCGGCTTGTCTTTCTACCTCTGCACCTTTGGTAAGTGCCCGCCAGGCCGGCTGCCAGGGCGGCTGCACCTTGCGCTCAGCGCCCCATAGGGCACTCGTGGTGATTGGTGAGGCTGGGAGCAGGCGGTCCTTCCACTGGGGGCACCTTCTCGGGCCCCTTCCTCCTGGGGTTGCCTCGGAGGGGCTCAGGCTCAGCCTCAGGCCGGGCAGCCGCTGGGCACCACCTGCTGCCTGGCCACGGTGCCAAGTGCACTTGGTTCTGCCTCACTTGGCTGGAATAATCACGCCCCAGCTAGTCTCTCAGAGACCCAGGTTGTCGCCACCGAGTTTCCCATTAGTAAGCAGCTCAGGGTTTAATCAAGGCCTTGTTCCTGCATCCCCAGGGGCTTCTGCGGGGTCAGCCCAGCCGCCGTGGCTCCTGGGGGCTCACCTTGGAGCACTCACAGTGTGACTGCTCTAGTGGATGTCTGGCCCACAGCTGAGGCGTGACCAGGCTCTGGGCAGGGGCACAGGGCTGTCCTAGGGGCTGGAGGTGGAAAGAAATGGGCAGATGGCTGCTGTTCCCAAGCCTCCCCAACAACTGCTGGACAGCAGCTGCGCCGCGGTCTGGACAAACCCGGTCTTCCAAGTAGCTATGGGAAGGATCGCAGCCCTGTCCTGGGATGCAGCCCTTCCCAGCTCTCCATTGCTTTCCTCGCTGGTTCTGCAACTCCCTGTGGAGTGGGGGCTGCATTTCCTCTGTGAAGATTGGGATCCAGAGAGAGGAAGGGCGCCCAGGGAGCCAGTGACAGAGTTGGTACCGAGCACAGGCCTTCTGAGACCTTCTACCCTTTTCCTGATGAAGGTTGGGGCAGTTACGGCACCACGACTGGACTTGGCTTAGAATTCAAAGACAGAGCACCCAAGGAGTCAGGCCCTCCTGGGTTCCAGTCCTGCGCTCAGGCTGCCCCGCCTCACGCTTGGCTCTTCTCAACCTGCCTTTTCCTCCAGGAGCGGAGGAAGTGATGGAAACGCAGTGTCCTGGCCCCTAGAAATGGCCTGTGGTCTGGCATTTACCCGTCCAGCTGGTGGAGGGTAACGAGAGTCACTAACTAGCCACCATTTTGTTGAGCACTTACCGTATGTCCTGCCTTGTACCAAGTTCTTGACCTGCATGATCTCATTTAGTCCTTCCAACTCTCGGAGGCCAATCCTGTTAACCTCACTGGGATGTGGCTAATTAGCATCCGGGATGATCTGAGTTGGTGGGTCAGGAAAGTGTCCGAGGCTGTGAGGCCCTGTGATGTGATGTTAGCTGTGTCCTGATGAAAAAGATGTTGCGTGGTGTTTTCTTCCGTATTAGCATGGCAAGGTGTATTCATTATTGAGAACTTAGTGGAAAGAATCGCCTGTAGCCTGACCTCCCAGAAAAGACCATTGTTAACGTGTTGGGTTATATCCTTCCAGACTTCGTTCTCTGTGTGTATGGGGGAAGTTGTGTCTAATTTGAACAAAATTGAGATCATATTGTAAATACAGTTTTGCAACCCATTTCTTTTTCTTACTGGTATGCTGTAACTGAAATCTACTTGCATCCGTCCACATGCTTCTATGGAATTAATCTCCCAGCAAATCTAGGCAGTTTTGGGGGGAAGGGTCTAGCCCAGCAGGGAGGGGTGCCCTGACCAGCCATGGCCTCAGGGCTGGGTCAGATGGTACCAGGGAAGGTTCCTACGAACTAGTGACTGATCTGAGTGTGCAGGGGGGCAGGCAGGAACCAGGTGGGGCAGGGAGCCTCCTGCTCCTATGTGTGCAGTCCCTTCTCAGATCTCAGAGTGACACTGGAAAAGTTCTCTCCTGTTTCCTGAAGTAGTAACTCTGTTTCCATGACAAAAGCCACCCCTTTTCCAGGCTGCTGACTTTCTTCATGATCTTTGAAGATTCAGATCAGCAGGTACTAACCTGGCCAATTATCAGAAGCAACCGGGGAGCCTGTTCAAATAACGCGGACTCCTAGGATCTTCTCCCAGAATTCCCGGTGTACTAGGTCTGGGGTGGAGCCTGAGAATCTAAAACTTAAAAAAGCCACAGAAGTACTTTGGCGATCAGGCAGGTGTGGAAGCTATGGATTCAGGGTCAGTTTGAGTCGCCAACATGGACTCCCTTAACAGGAAAACTTGGCTACTTTTTTTCTCTGTTCACCGGCCTTTATCCAGCCTGGCCCGTAGCCCAGGTAGCCTGGCTTTGTACTGAATGAACCAGATGAGGGTACTGCCTCGCTGGTAGTTTCCTGAGCAAAAATATTTAAAGGGAACTACATTTCCAGCTTCTCTGGAACCACAGAGACAAATTGTTTTGACCAGAATTCTTTTTAGGGAGAGTCCTTTGTGGCATAAGTGGTTTGTTTATTTATTATTTGTATTGATTTCAGAGAGGAAGGGCATGTGCCCTTGACCAGAATTGTACCTGGGACCCTTCAGTCCACAGGCCGACGTTCTATTCACTGAACCAAACCAGATAGGGCTGTGGTATAAGTGGTTTATATACTGTTTTTGCACCCTCATGAGTATAAACCCATGAGGTCACATTCAAGTAACGTTAATTGGCCCTTCACGGCCTTCTCAGGAGGTGACCTGGCTTTGAGAGTATAATAAACTGGGGCTAGAACCCATTTACTCCAGAGGGATTTTTATTTATGAGAAATAATGTAATTAGAAGAAACCATTTTAGGTGTACATAAGTTTTTCCTTCAGGATTATATCTTTTAATGTTATTAGTATATTTGCTAACATGCTCTTAAAAATCTCAATAATTTCACTGAGATATAACTTACATACAATTAATTCATTTAAAGTGTACAATTAAATGGTTTCTGGTATATTCGCAGAGTTGTGTAACCATCACCACAGTCAAGTTTAGAACATTTTTATCACTCCAGAAAGAAACACTGTACCCTTTAGCTTATTACCCCTAATTTCCAGTCCTCCCCCCCTCCCCTTGGCCAATCCTAAACAATCACTAATCTACTTTCTGTCTCGACAAATGAGCCAATTCCAGACATTTCATATACATGGAATCATATATAGTTTTTTGTGACTGCCTTCTTTCACTCAGCATATTTTTAAGATTCACTCATGTTATAGCATGTGTCAGCACTTCCTCCTCCTCCTCCTCCTCCTCAAAGCCAGACACCAGGGGAGGCAGAGGGGCCCCTCAAAGGCCTCTGGGCTCCAAAGGCTCCTAGTCGTCCTGGAGGATGAGCCTTTTGAAGACATGCTCTCCCAGCCCAGCCTGGGGGCCGGCCAGCGCACGGAAGGTAGTCAGGTGGTTGCCCATCTTCTTGATGAGTTTCACCTGCTCACCCGGAAGTGGTTCTCTGGGAAGTCACAGAGATGAGGGTCTGCGTGGGTAGAACCAGGGCCTGCAGCTCCAGAAGGGCCTGGTTCGGGCTCCTCTCCATGGCCAGGGTGGCCTCCGTGGCATCCTGAGTTTTGCCCACTCATCTGGGGAGGCTTCAGCACGTCCTAGAAGAGAATGCGGCCACCGTGCTTGTTTTGCAACTTTAAGAGACGCTCAGCGTCCTCGCCCTTCTTCTCCACCAACTTGAGGAAGAAGTGGCGCATGCCCTCGGGGGGCCACATCTTCTGGGTCAAAGTAGAAGCCCAGAGAGAGGAGGTGTAGGAGGCCCGCAGATGCAGGCTGGCCAGGAGGTTGACCACAGCCTCCACCTCGGTGGAAGAATTCTGACGAATTTGGGAGCTCATGGTTGTTCGGCAATAAGGAGTTAAGGTACGAAAAACAAAAACAAAACCCAGTGTGTTGGCTTGAGAACCAGAGGTGGTTCTGAAGGTGGTGACTGGATGAGGAGCAGGAGAGTGGCTGGAGGCTGGAAGGGGGGACCCTGGATCTGTTCTGTCCAAACACTGTTGAAGCAAGAGACAGATCTGGGACCGCCGAGGGCACCCTCATTCATTTTTTATGTCTGAATAATATTCCACTGTAGAGACAGACCACATTTTGTTCATTCATTCATTAGTTGGTGGACATTTGGATTATTTCTGTTTGTTGGCTGTTATGAATAATGCTCGTTTATAACTGTACATGATTTTGTGTGGGCAAACGTTCTCAATTCTTTTGGGTACATACCTAGGAGCAGAATTGCTGGGTCAAATGGTAGCTCTAGGTTTAACTGTTTGAGGCACTGCCAAACTCGTTCCCAAAGTGGACGCACCATTTTCCATTCTCATCAGCAGTGTCTGAGGTCTTTGGTTTCTCCACAACCTCACCAACACCTGCTATTAACTGACTTTGATTCTAGCAATCCTGGGGGTGTAAAATGGTATCTCCTTGTGGTTTTAATTTGCATTTCCCTGATGATCAGTGATATTGAGCAGCTTTCATGTACTTATTGGCTATTTGTATATCTTCTTTGTAGAAAAGTTTCATTAGATCCTATGCCCCATTTTTTAAATTGGGCTATTTACCTTCTTCTAATTGTTGAGGTTTGAGAGTTCTTTACATATTCTAGATACAAGTTCCTTTTCCAGAAGCCTCATGTTTGAGGACATGTAGCTTTCTTTTCTTTTTATTCTGTTCAAAATATTTTCCAGTTTTCATAGTCATTTCTTCTTGAACCCATGGGTTATTTAGAAGTATAGTTCTTAATTTCCAAAGATTGGGGATTTTCTAGTAATCTTATTTTATATCTTATACAGTATTTTACTAAAAAAAAAATGCCCTGCAAGTTTTCAGTCTTTCTATGGCTCAGCACATGGTCAGTTTTTAGGAATGTTCTGTATGTACTTGAAAAGATCTGCAGTGGGTGGGTCTAGGATTCTTTGTAGATGTTAGCTTTAGGTCAAGTTTGCTAATTATGTTGTTCAAATATTTTATATCCTTGCTGATCCCCCACCACATTTGTTCTATCAGTTACTGAGAGAGACATGTTAACATTCCTACTATAATTGTAAATTTGTCTATTTTTCATTATAGATCTGTCAGTTTTTCTTTTATATATTTTGAAGAAATATTAAGAACACAAATTTAGAGTTATTATCTTTCTGGTGAATTGAGGCTTTTATTGTAACGAAGCCTTTTATTATTATGAAGTCTTTTATTGTTGTGAAATCTTTTTTATTTCTAGTGGAGATAAATTTTACTTTTGCTGACATTAACTTAGCCACCCAGCCTTCTTTCGGTTCACAGTTGCTTGACAGATCTTTTTGCATCCTGTTTCTTTCCGTCTTTCTGTTTCTCTGCGTTTCGGTGTGCTGTGTCTATTACAGGGGGTAGGCAGGGAGTTTTTATTTTTCTTCTTAATGTAGACCTGAACTGACATCTTTCTTCAAAGAGATCTTTCTTTACTTCTGTCAGGCGCTTGAGGTCACTAGCAATCTGGAATAATCTTAGTTGAATGTTAGGGATTGAGATTGCTTGAAGTTGAGCTGCAATCCCTTGAAGAACTGTTTCTCGTCTTGGCTAATTCTCTTCCTAAGGAGTAAGCCTTTATGGTTCCAATCCAAAAGGTGGGGGCTTAGAAGGACCCCACCTCTGGGCAGGCCCTAATCTCCAACTCCTGTTCCTTTAGCCCCGAGCCTGGGGAGAAAGTGGGAACTTGTGAGGGGCTCGATTAGCTGGTACCTGGAGCAGCTGAAGGCCCCTTCTCCTAGTGATGTATTTTTCTAGACTTGGATGCATTTCTTGGAGCCTGACCTTTCTTTGGCTTCCTCTTGGCTTCTTGAGCAAAGCTATGGCACATTGTCTCATGCCTGACGGCTCTCTCTGCTCCTGAACCCCAGAGTTGCATTGGCAGATGCAGTGGTGCCCAGTATAGGGCTGTGAGTGTTCTAGAAGGCAGGCACAGTCCACAGGAAACAGTGCTGGAGTTGGCACAGAGTTCTAGTCTTCACTTCTGGCTTGGCCTACCCTGGTCACTCTGGGCCCAGGGCAAGTCACCTTCCTTTGCTGGGCATGCCTGTTTTGACTACCAAATGGGAAGTTTGGGCAAGACGATTTCAGGAGCCTCAGAGATTTTTTTTTTCCTCACTGAGGATATATTTTCATTGATTTTAGAGAGAGAGGAAAAGAGAGAGAGAGAGAGAGAGAGAGAGAGAGAGAGAGAAAAACATAGATGTGAGAAACATCGATTGGTGGCCTCCTATACGTGCCCTGACTGAAGATTGAACCTAGGTATGTGCTCTGTCCGGGAATCGAACCTGCAACCTTTTGGTGAATGGGACGATGCTCCAACCAACTGAGCCACCCAGCCAGGGCAGGACCCTCAGACATTTGATGGAATTGGCTGATGCGGGCAAGACAGAGGGGACAGGCATGGTGGAGGGAAACGTGTCATTCTTTTTCTTGCCCTTCTCTATGCAGCTGAGATGGGCTAAGTAGGGTGTGCCCTGTACTGGGCCTGGAGCCTTATCTGTTGGGTTGGGTTTTTCTGCTGTAACAGGGTGCAGAGACTTCCTGAAAAGACCTGCTTGTCAGGCCCTGAGGGGAGCTGCATGGAGAGATGCAGACTCACCTGACTTCTGAGTCAGATTCACCCCAGGACTTCCTCCTCTTCGGTCCCACCCTTGGCCTTGCCTAGGCCTCTGTCCTCGCCCCCCGGGTTGTGAGCTCCCAGAGGGCAGGCACTGGGCTGTTCAGATCTGCCCTTCCCCCCTCAGGGCTTCTGCAGGTGCCCACAAGTGTCTGTTGTATGGAATTAGTGACCACTTGTGTTGGGAGATGTCTCCATGCTGATTTCTGGGAGGGCCGGGGGTAGGTGATAGGAATGATCCGCACAGTGCTTCTCATGCCTTTGGAAAGCCAAACATGTTTGGGCCAGAGCTGGCTTTGCACTGGCGATCGTTTCAGAAAAAATGTTTTGTGCTAAACATAGATGTCTTGGGGGTGATGAGATCCAATCACTGACTGCCTGACCTTGTTTGTCTGTTTCCAACCTCCCTGTCCCACCCCACACTGGAGCGCGCACAGTTTCTGTAGGAGTTTCTCAGTGTTCGGGAGTCCCAAAGTGGTAATTGCTCAGCCCTTGAGCTAATAATACCATGGGTTCTCCTGGCGCCTTTCATCAGAGGACCGCCTCACCCTCCAGTGTTATCCGATCCCCACACAGCTCAGCGAGTGCGATCACCCCTATAATTAATTAGCTCCGCCTCACTGCCGCGGACACTGTGGCTCTGAAAGAGGAGGACAGGCCTCTTGGGCTCCTGCGATCAGTGTCCTGGGCAGGAGAGCAGCAGGGACTGCTGATGGGTGGAGATAGGAACCCGAGTAGCTGGAGCTGGGATTGCTGGGCTTGTAGCTTGAACACCCTGAAGAGTGAGGAGCAAGTGGTGGCCAGGTCACAGCAGCTGGTGGATTACTGCAGAGTCATGAGACACGGAGCTTTCTCCAGACCGTGCCTGGCCTTCCTCCAAACAGCCTTGAAGCACAGGCCCACTCACCATCCCAGCTCCCTGGGGGCATATTCAGGGATGAGCAGTGGAATGATGAGGGATGTCTCACGTTCCATGAGGAACGGTGGAAGGACTTTAGACTTTGGTCTGGAGGAGCGATCCCGTGCTGCAGAATGAGGTCCAGTCAAGGAAAGTTACCGAGAAGCCCACTTTTGGCTCAATAAAGATGGGGCATTGAACAATCAGAGCTATCTCAAAATCGAAAGGGCTCCCGCTTCAGGGAGTGAGCTCCTCGTCGCTGGAAGTGATCAAGCAGAAGCAGATGCCTACTAGGCAGGCTTGTCACGGATGGAGCAGATGCCAGGGCTATCCGGTCGATGTGTAGGGTTGCTGCAGGCTGGGAGGTCCTACCTGCCCTCTTTGCCTCCACAATGGGTGGACTGAGTTCAGCAGCTTCTTGAGGTTCCAGGGAGGGTTTATTAAAGCACTAAGAGAAGATTTTTCAACATGTCATTGAGGAAGAAGAGTGTGGTCCTCTCTCTCCTCTGTCCATGCTGGAGGGCCTCTGGGTGTCTGTGAGGACGACCCGATGTTGGTTTTGGGCTACCTTGTAAAGTCATGAGCTCCCTATCCCTAGAGCGGGGTGGAGTCTAGGCCGGAGAAGCACTGCTGGAGGCATTGCAGGAGGGACTCCTGACGTGGTGAAGGGGCTGTACGAGGGGGCTTCTGAGCGCCCTTACAACCCAGAGACCGTGTGGATTTTTGAATCCCTTCACATGAACAAAAGACCGTTCCCGTCACTGTTACTCCACTTTTCACCCAGTAAGGAGACAAGGTGAAGTTGTTTCTGTTGTTATGCCCTTAGGTCAGCTGAAGCTGTCCATCGACGCCCAGGACCGGGTTCTGCTGCTCCACAGTGAGTATGGTTACATGCCCAGTCCACCAGGGAAGGGGTTTGCCTGGAGAAGGTGTTACTATGGGCCAAGGCATCTTTTCTCATCTTTGTATAGTGTCCTTCCGTGAGTCCATTGAAAAAAAGTGGGTATTCACTCAGGACTCGTTCTAGAGACCCTTCCCTGGTCCTGCCCCGGATGTGATGGAGTTCACACACTGGCCGGCTGGAGCTGCTCCTGGGCACCTCAACATCACCCTGGGCCCCAGTGGAGCAGGGCCACAGACGGGCTTCCCCAGCCTCCCTCTCTACTGAATGACCTTAAGCAAGCTCAGTTTTCTCATGTGTCAAATGGCAGCAATAATAGTACAGTGGCCTTGACTTATGAGTTTAATTCGTTCTGAGACCGAGCTCGTTAAGGAGCTCATTAACTCAAATTACTCTGTCAACTCAATGTAAAAAATTGGCTGAGAGACAGCTGGTATCTCAAAAAACTCGCTAGTCAGGACACTCGTAAGACAAGGCCCCACTGTACCTATCTTGTTGGCTGTTGTGGGGATGGAAGGAGTTAATATGAGTAAAGCGCTTGGGACAGTGCCCCGTATGTAAGTGTTTGCTAAATCAGAAAGCCATGAATTCCAAAAACAATCATTGAGCGTTGGCTCTGTGCTAGGGGTGGGACACCAAAAGGAAGCACCTATTCCTGGGTAGGCGGTGCTAATAGGATGGCAGGGAAGACTTGACAATGGGGGTGATGCCCACACTTTATCCTGAAGGAAGAACAGGACTAAGCCAGGCAGGAGGGAGCAGGCAGGCCAGGCATCTGATGCAGGGGCAGCAGCAAGTGCAGAGAGATCAGCGAGGATACGATGCATTGGAAGGACTGTCTAATGGGACTGGGGCATGGAACAGGATCGGGTAGAGGAGGGAGTGAGCCAGGGCCAGGTGATGAAGGTCTTATGCACCACCCAGAGGATTTTACACTTCACCTGCCCATTTATCTCTTTGTTCATCCTTCCATCCGGCACACAAATAGTAATCGAGCTTCTGTAATGACCCCCTTTACTTGGACTCTGCTGTTTGGCCCAGCAGGCCCTGCCTCTCTCTCCAGCTTCCCTGGCTCCTGCTGCTAAAGCCACCCTCCACCCCCTTTTCTGTGCAGCGACCTGAAATTCCCTTGAATGCACCATGCTTTCTAATGCTCTGTGCCTTCGCATCCTCTGTTCCTTGTGTCTGGAATAGCCTGCCTTCTTTTTGAACTCCTTCAGAAAAGTAACTCTCTATAGAATTGTATCCCTGAAACCTATATTAACCAATGTCAGCCCAATAAACTTAATAAAAAAATAAATTTTAAAAAAAGAAAGAAAAATAGCTCTCCCTTTCCCCTAATTTTGCAAGACCTATGCCTGCCTTCACCATCATTAAGACTCAGGGAGGAATCACCTCCTGGGCTGTTTGTGGCTTCCTCCTCTATGTCCTCATCACAGCCCTGACTACACTGTGTCACCTTGGTCTGTCGGGGGTGTTTCTTCTCTTCTAGTGTGGGATTGCATCCCCTGGGAGCCAGAGTGACCCAGAGCTCATCCAGCCTGCATCCTCCCTCAGGGACCACACCCTGGAGGGGAAGGATGCGTGCAGGAACAGTAACTAGGATACCAGGAAGCACAGACCAGCAGGCGCCTGGGATCCTGGGGTCTTGGCCTTGGGGGGCCCAAGGTGAAGTTCCCAAGGACCAGCAGCGCGGGGTTCTTTGCCCGCCAGAGCCTGACTCCAGCTGTGCAAACAGTTTTTGCAGAATGCGTGTTGGCCTCCACTGCTTCATTTGTCCTGCACAGTTTGCTTTGGCTTCACCCCAGCCTCAGGCCTTCATCCCGTCCAGCCTTTCCCCTCTCTCCCTTGGTTTCCCAGGCCTCAGGCCGCAGACTACGGGAGCTTCATCTGAGCCAAACCCCAGGCCTCAATCAAAACCGAACACAGAAGAAAATAGAAAAGAGATTCAGCTTCTATCGGGTCTGCTGTCAGAGTTCTGCAGACCTCAGGCCAATGGGCCATGCTTGCTTTCACACCCAGACCCGAACCCCACCTCCACTATCCCTTGCCTCTATTTATTATTCTTTTCTTCAACAAACATTGTGTGAGCAGTTCCGTATTTGCCAGGTATTCTGTTAACCACTTTTGACACATTATTTCATTTAATCGGCACAACTACCCTGTAAAGTGAGTAGTATTATCACAAACATATTTTAAAAATGGCGAATTCATTCTTAGCGAGGTGAAGCTACTTGCTTGGGCTGACATGGCTAGTAAGTGGCCGGGCTGGGGTCATCCTCAGGCCTGTCTCCCTGTGGACCCAGACTTTTGCCTGTTGTGCTATACTGTTCGTCAGCCACAGCACAGATCACTGTGCAGTGTACTCTCCAGCGTAGCCCCTCCGTTCTCAGGACATAGTCTTGTGTGGTGGAAGGAACCACTGGCCTAGGAATTAAGAAACATGGATCTGTCACCCCATTGCTCTGTGATTTTGAACACGTTTCTTGCTGTCTGTGGGCCCCCCTCACAGCCTTCTCTTCCCCTTTCAATGAGGGTTGGACTCAATAAATTCTGTTCCCTTCCAGCTGTCGGAATCAGGGGATTGAATGCACCCTGTACTGCCTCGCTGGGGTGCTGCCTGAGGGTGTGAGATGGTGGGAGTGGACTAGGCCAGAGAGGGGTGAATATCCAATGGTGGTTCTATGCATTAAGGGCCTGGTAATAATCTTTCCCACTCACCCACTCCGACATTTTAATTCTCTGTTTAGTCATGGAAGGCAAAGGTCTGATGAGCAAAGCGCCTGGCATCTGTGATCCCTACGTGAAGGTAAATGGAGGTCGGGGTGGGTGTGGATGGGGCTGGGGGTGGTGGTCAGTAGGCATTTAATTTGCTCAGGGGTGAAGTCCTGAGCTAGGATAAACCTCTTCCCTTAGCCTGGCTTGGTCCCTAGGGCATCCTGCAAGAGTGAGAATTTTCAGGGTGAGCTTGGTCACCCACACAGGTGAGCGCAGTGAGCATGTGGATGGCAGAAATCCAGATGATCTCAAGCCCTCTCATGAAAAGCGGTATCTTCACCCGTCTCCTCCCCCGAACGGGAGGCAAGATGGCCAGATCTGGGTGGTGGAGTGGAGGGAGTGCCTCTGAGGGCTTGTAGGTCCGTCCGAGTGGGGCTCTTGCAACGAGACAGAGGCCCCATGGGGTGGAGGAACTACTGGCCAGAGCCAAAGGCCAGATGCCTCCCAGAAGGTGGCAGCCTTGATGCCACGCTGGTCAGAGGCCCCTGTGGGCAAGGACTCGGTCAGGAGCAGGGTGGGAGCCCGAGGCAGGGGTGAATGCATTAGTGTGAGAGCACGGATGGGGGGCCTTGGCAGAGCAACCTGGAGCCTCTTGTGAAGGGAGAACTCGGCCGCTGCTGGGAACTTAGAAGAGAGGAAGCCTGTGCTTTGGGGGCAACCTCTCTGCTTGGAGGAAGAGCAGAGATGGTCAAGTTGTCCCCCATCTCTGGCTGGGCCTCTGGCTGCCTTCTTGCTACCACTCACGACGGGGCCCTGGAATCAGACACCTCTGATTCCACCGCTGGCCTGGGGCTCCTCATTCTTCCCCCAGCATCTGACTGAGGACGCCACCGCATCCTCCGCAGAGGCTGGTGAGAAGGACACTGGGAAACCTTCGATTGCAGATGTGCAGAGCCAGCCTCTGGGCTGAGGCAACCGTATGGCCACGCGTAATCACCTAACGCTTCCTTTCCTCCAATTCAAGATTTCTTTGATCCCCGAAGACCAGGGGCTGTGCTGCCAGAAGACACAGACCATTCCGGACTCCAGAGACCCCGTCTTCCAGGAGCACTTCTTCTTGTAAGAACCTGGTGCAGCCGGGCCCTCGACGGGAGCGGGAAGGAGTGCTTATCTGGAAACAGCTCTGTCTGCCAAATCTAGAACTAGATCTCAGCAGAAAAACAGTGACTTCTAAAGGATGTCTTTGTTTTCTCATTCCCTGTGTCCTTGCATCCCTGGCACCTGGCCCGGCCGTGAGGTCCTCAGTGATAAGGTCTCACTTGGCTGGTTCTCATAATTCAAATGCCCAGCCCGAGACTGGCAGCCCCCGAGGAGAAGGCGACTTCCCACCGTGCCTCGGGCCAAGCTTTCTCCTTCAGCAGAAGGAATTTCCCGAGCCGAGGGATGTTTTGCCTACCCCCCTCCTTTAAAAACTTGCTAACCTCTCCGAGCCCTGGCTTCCTGATTTGTAAAATGGGGCCAATAATAGTGCCAACCTGAGAAAGCTGAGGTGTAGATGAGACAGTAACACTGAGTGTTGTCGCTATTATTTCTTTCCCCGAAGCCTGAACTCGGCAGCCAGTGGGAAGATAATAGACATTTTGGATTTTTCTGTTAGTGCAAATTAATAATATTGTTTGTGGTTTTCAAATGTCACAAGGTAGTTTTTGCGTATTATAGAAAAGCAGCAATTATAGATACACAAAAAGGAGAACAGAGAAAAATCCTTCCAGCCCTACTACTCACTGATAGGTCTTGATTTATTTCTTTTCAGATGTTTGAATTTGTGGGGAGGGGGTGTATGTCTGTGTGTGTGTGTGTGTGTGTGTGTGTTTATAAAAATTGAATTGTTCTATAATATTATGTGGGAACCTCTCTCCTGTCCTTAATAACATAATGCAAACTCTTTAATGTATGTCAATACTCACTTCCCACACTATCTGTGCTTGAGTTTTTCAAACAGCTCCTCATGTTGGAGGTGTAAGTTATTTCCAGATTTTGCAATTGTGTTGGACTCCGTGAGGTCTGGTCTGGAGCTCCACTCTGCAAACACTCGGGCCTTCTGCTTTGCTTTGCAGTCCTGTCCAAGAGGAAGATGAACAGAAGCGCCTCCTGGTCGCGGTGTGGAACAGGGCAGGTGACTCCAGGTGAGCGGAACTGCCGAGCTGGAGGAGAGAGCCTGCTCTGGGCCTGTGGGTGGCAGCCAGGCGGCCAGCATACAACAGGGGCTCAGTTAGTGGATGAGTGAGTAGCAGTAGCAAAGCTAAATGGACCACCAAGTCCCCGTCACTCCGGGTGACGCCAAGGATCGTGTTATCAGAGAGCATTTGCCCTGCCCTTGGTATCAGCAAGACACTGTGTTGGCCTCCAGGGATGCCAACCTGCCTACATTCTGCTCTCAAGACACCTCTTTTCAGTAAGGGACGCCAGGAGACAAATTACAGTGACAGCATGCACAGGCTCGGTCCCACAGGAGTAGAAGCTCCATGAAAAATGGGCCCATTTCTCTTTTACGCACTCACTGTACCATGTGCCTGGCATATAGAAGTCTAATGACTATTGGTTCAATGAATAAAAGAATGAAATGAGTAATAGGACAGTTAGTGTGGGCAGAGGGAGAGCTCATTGTAGGCTGAGGTGGTCAAGGAAGCCTTCGTGCAGAAAGGGGGATTTTGAACTTGGGGCAGAGAGCAAGAATAGGACAAGGAGAGAAGGTTGGAAAGGGTATTCCAGGCAGGGGCACAGCATGAGCAAAGGCAAGGAGGCAGGAATATGCGCGGTGGGCTCAGGCTGCCATGCGGAGGCCAGTTTAGGAGATGTGGAGATTTTGTGTAGGAGACTCCAAACGGGCTGATCTTGCAGGACGCTTGAGGCCAGTCATTAGTAATAACGTTTAGTATAGAGGAGGGGAGGAGTTCTGGGTATAGGAGGGTGAGGATCGCTGTGGAGGAAAGGGGGTGAGAGCACTTGACTGATGGTCATGGCCGACTGGGAGTGGCAAGGGCTCATTCACCTGGTGCAGCCTAAGAAATCTGGGGGACCCTGTGGCCAGTAACACTTGTCAAACAATCAGAGAACCAAATGGTGACCAAAAAAGGATCTAGGTGAATGAAAATTAGCTCAACTCACCTTCTGAGGCCCAGAACATATTTTCAGGCTGAATCCTTTTTAGTACCCTAAATTTTATAGCTAGTATGCTTTCTAAAGTTGAGCCGTGTTCAACCTTCACAAGGAAAGATTTGTCTTTTAATAGAGCACCTATTTTTTTAAATCATGGAATGGAGCTCATGGTGCTGTAGGCCCCCTTATTGAGCCGCCATTTCCTGGGTACCAATGTGGCAACATTGTCATAGGTTCTGGGGACACATGGGGTTGCTCAGAGACCATCCCGCTCCCCAGAGGATCACTGATAGAGACTTGGGGGTGTGGCCGAGGAGGAGGACGTCACCTTGAAGATAGGAGCAACCATTTACTGGGTGTTGACCACAAGACAGGTGTTAATAGTGTATTACCTCATTTAATTCATAAAACGACTCTAAAGGGAGTGCATGTTTTATCTTAAGTGTTCAGAAGAGGAGACTGAAGCTAAGAAGGAAGTAACTTGCCCAAGGTCATACAGCCATTGAACAGTAGAGCCGGGATGGGAACCCAGGCAGTTAGACCCAGAGTCCTCACTCTCAATACTATATTGCTTCCTGGATGCTCAAGTCAAAGGACAGAAGAAAGAAACAGTGGAGTGTAGAGGGGAGAGGGCAGGGCAGGACCGTGGACGGATCTACAAACTCATTGGTCTTGCTGGAAGGTCAAGTACAAAGTAGGGACCGGCTAGAGATAAGGTGAAGAAGTAGTCAAAAGCCCAATCTGATGAATCTGTAGGTTTTCTCCCAAGGGCCAGTGGTTCTCAATCCTGAATATACATCAGAATCACCTGGGATGCTTGTGAGGAGCACAGATTCCCAGGTGTCATATCCGAATCTTCATGGGTGGGGCCTAGGAATCTGCATTTACAAAGCTCTCGGGGAGAACCTCATGCAGCCAGCTTGGTGTTTGGTAATCTGGCAATGGGGATGGACCGAAGGGTGTTGAGCAAGGGGATGACAGATGTGTGTTCTAGATCTATCATTCCGGTAGATCTCAGGAAGGCTGAGGAGGAACCAGGAGATTCTTGTGGTGATTGGTGAGAGAGAGATTTAGGGATAGAGGGGCAGGAAAGAGACCCAGGACGTAGTTAGGAGATAAACTGATAGTATTTACTGGTGATTTTGGGCGTGAGAGCAGGTGGGAGAAGCCAAGGATGACTCCTGGGTGTTGGGTGGTGTCCCCGAGTAAGCTGGAGCGTCCTGGAGGGGAAGGGAGCCAGCTCTGGATATGGTGAGGTGGCGGTGCCTGGACAGCAGCCAGGGGAGGGCTGTGAGGAGAGCTGCCTTTGCTCTCCTGAGGCTCAGGGGAGAGGGAGGTCTGTGCCCACGTGCACAGGTGAAAGCCATGACCACCGAGGTGGTGGGTGAAATTCTGAGCAGGTCAGATGCCCAGGGAGAAAGTGGGTGCCCAGGACCAAGGGTCAGAATCCTGTCTTGAAGGGGAAGCCCGGAAGCGACAGAGGAGGGGGTCAGAGAAACATGTGGCAAGCCCACTGGGTGGTGGCAAGGAGCAGAGCAGGTGCTGGAGGCAGACCCCCCACTGGGAGCTGTCGCTCCCCCCACCGTGAGCCACCCTCCTGGGAGAACAGGGCGAGCCCAAGGGCTGCTGGAGGCGTCAGCAACGCAGCTCACAGTTTTTGGAAAAGAAGGTGAGGCCGGAGAGTGAGTCAGCATGACAGCATGACAGAGGCCGTGAGTGTCTCCACTTGTTGCCTATTTTGGGAAAGTGAGATTCCTTATGAACAAAACACAGTTGAACTTGTGGTCACAGTCCCAACCCAAAGCTCAGGAGGGACAGAGCGGGCTCAGACAGGCCTGTGTTTCGGAACAGAGGGCCCTGCTGACCAAAGCTGCGAGCACCAAGCCATGGCTCAGGGCTCAGGGCTCAGGGCTCGGGGCTCGGCCGGTAGGAGGCGCAGCATTGATCCATCATCTGACCCAGGAGGCTTCTGAGTGGGAGGAGGCAGACAGAGCGATGGCAGGAAACTCCTGCCCTGCTCCGCGCTCTCAAATCAAATTGTGCTTCTCTGAAGGACGGACCTTCAACTTATCAACATGAAAGACAATTACAGGAGGAAGGAAACAAACACTGATTGAACTCTTCTCTGTGCCGAGCACTTTACATACATTATCTCATTTAATCCTCATAGCAACGCTGAGAGGTAGGGATTGTTATGGCCCTCTTTTCAGAGAAGAGGAAACTGAGGCTCCTGCAGGCTCAGGACATATCACAGCTCATGTTTATCAAGCACCTAAGGTCCACTCCTCCGGGCATTAATCTAAGCATATTCCATGCATTATCTAATTTAATCCTCATAACACCATATAAGGTAGATATTATGGTTGCTCCTTCACAGGTGAGGAAACAGAGCCCAGAGAGGTTAAGTAACTTGCCTAAGATAACACAGCTAGGATGTGATGAAAATAACATGCAAATCCAGGCAGTCTGGCGCCAAACTCATGTATTGGTAACCACATTATAGGACACTTGACAGTCTCACACAGGTGATGAATGACTCCAAAACCAAACTTTTTCTGTGTCAGTACCTGTGTTCCTCAGGCCCCGGAGGAACACATGTACTTTCCATAGCATTTATAACGTCGTTTTATATGCCATCCAGCTGAATGGGTGGCAGTTACATTTTGCAAATGATAGGAGATAAAAGGGAAGCACCAATTTCATTAATTCTCACGGCCTTTCCAGTGAGGACTATAAACTTGTATTAGGGAAACAAGATGATCTGCAAAGACGTTCTGGGGGAGGGCTGGCTGATTTCCACTCTTAATGGTGCCCACAGTGGGAGCGGAGGAGAACTGGCTCAGAACACTAGATTTTGGCCTCGCTCAGACTTGCTGCGAGACCGTGCTAATTCCTTTCCCTGCTTCGGGCCTCAGTTTCCTCATCTGTAAAATGCACCGACCTCTAAAGGGACTTTCAGCTTTCAGGTTCTGTGAGTTTTGAAGAAGCTATAGACAATTTCAAACATATGAAAGGGTAGAAAATATCATAGCATAAACCCTCATAGGCTTAGCCCAGCTTCGTCGATCGTCAATACATGGCTAGTCTTGTTTCATCTGTGGCCCCTCCCACTTTCCCCTCTCCCAGTGGATTATTTTAAAGCAAATCCCAGACATCACCTCATCTCATCTCTATATCTTTATAAAAGATGGCTTTAAAAAAAAAAAGGAAACCCACAATGCCGTTATCACATTTAAAAACTGACAGTAATTCCTTAATATCACTGACTGTGGAACTGAGCTGTTTAAAAGTTTTGTTGGATGATATGGTAAGAGCCAACTGGAAGCTCTGGTCATAGCATCTGCAGAACTTGGGGCCAGAGAACAAGCTTAGATTTGTAATGTTATGCACCAAGTTAGAAACAGCAGCAGCAGCACGCACATAAGCCTGAAGGACATAATCGTTTATGTTGGTAGCACCGACATTTATGGAGAGCCTGCTTGCTCCGTGTCACATGGTCAGGGGTACTCTGCATGTGCTCTCTCCTTGAATCTCCTTTCATAAACAGGACCTCAGTGCCGAGGACAGTGCTGTCATGTTAGGGAGCTTGTGACCAGAGATGGGGACTGAGCCGAAGGAAAGAAACAATGAATGGGAAGATGCGTTCGATTTAACCCATCAACTTAAAAATAAATTGAGATTAGATGGAGTAACCCTGCCACAGAAATAGTTCAAGGTCCCTGAGACAGAATTAAAGTGCATTCCCTCAAAATAGCAATGCCTTTTGCCTTGCAGACGTTTCTTACTTTAGGCTCAAAAGTAAACGGAGCCAAGTACTTTTCCCCGTGAGTGCTCGTGAAACCTTACCCCTGAGCCTTCGTGTTGAACGTTCCCTCTGCCTGAAATGCTCTCCCTCTCCCTCTCTCTGGCTTCACTCTTTGGGCCTTCTTCGAGCACCTTAGCCCTAAACCACCTCTCGCCTCCTGAGCTTTCATCATTTGTTGCCTGCACTGTTCATCTGTCCATCTCGCCCTGCCTAGTGACATCCCTGTGTTGCTGTCCTGAACTGCTATTTAAATTCCTGCATGTTTGCCTCATTACTGCGGTGGCTCCTTGCCCAGTGCCTACCAACCATGGGCATAATGGATTCATCCACTTGTCAAGCCTTCACTGAGTGCACCAAACCCTGAGCTCAGGGTTTGGCATCCAGAAGTCCCCAAGGCTTGGCTCCTGGGACTTTGTGCCTAAGCAAAACTTCAGGCAGTCCGGGGTGCATATTCGTTCCCAATTTTACAAGCTGACTGGTCTATTGCTGTGCACTCGGGTGACGTGCAAAAGAAGTCTTTCTTCTTCCAAAGATTTTTCAAAAGCAGGTTTCAGAAGTGCCCATTTGAAGAACACTCAGAGGGAGGGTCCTGCTTATGGACATGAATTGTGACCATGTACTCTGCCTGAATTATCATGACATCATTGGAGGCCCCTTAGCAGGAAGCAACGCTCATAGGAGGCTATTAACCATTTAGCATTCTCCAAGCACCGGGGAATGAAAACTGAACTTACCGAAGAGCAGGGAGAGGCAGCTTTCATTACAGCTGAGGGCTGTGCCCGGAGACTTAGAAAGTTACAGCCATGCCCAGTGTGGGAGAAACGTGTGGACACCTAGGTGCCAGCTGGCCTGCTCTTGCATGTGTTGACAAACAGAATTAAATTGGTGATGAGGACTTTGGCAAAGTCTCGACACGGGTTCTGTGGAATGGCAGCTCAGATCAGCATCTGCGCTTGTGATGGCCCCTGCAGCTGCCTCTCCCCGTTAGTGCTGCCTTGGCCACTTGCCAGGAGGGTGGAGTATTTGTTTTTGGTGGTGGGCTGGGGAGGGGAATGTGGAAGGGTCGCTTTGCTGGGGTGATCACCCTGTCCTCTTTGGGTGGATTATCGATATGGCCTCGTATGATGGGGGTGGGCAAGGGAGAGGGGAGGACAGGTGGAGTCCAGGCTGCAGGAAATGGGGGCAGGGAGTGAGAGCAGGGGACGTAGCCGGGTAAGAGTAGCTGGAGGGACCCGGCCAGGTGCAGAATTTGCAGGGCAGGCTCGCCGGTCTGAGGACCAGGCCTCAGCATTCTGCATCTCTGCCCCTCACTTGGCTGGGTTACCCTCAAGAAGCCAGTTTTACTTTGCTTAGCACTGTTAGGTGGTGAGCTGCCACCCTTTCCGGAGAATGCAAATAATACGCATTTCTAGAGGCCTTCTAGACCAGGGGTCCTTGACTGGGGCAGGCACCGGTAGGTGCTTTCTCCAGACTCACATGCCTGGACCCCGCCTGAGACAGCTGGGTCTGGGTCTCCGGGAGCAGACTCTGGGGCATATGATGTGGGCAGGCATTTCAGGGGGTTCTGTGGTGCACCCCTGGCTATAGCCACCAACCTCACTCACGCCCCCTTAGGCCAGGTTCCAGGGAGGCCCATCTCGTGGGAGTTCACTGCCCATCTAGGAGCTCATGCCATCTTGGCTCTGCTATTGTGCCTTCCACAGAACACGCTAGATCTGTGTGGGTCTTTCAGACATTGACGTCAACCACCAGGGCTATGCTCCAGTCTAAATACCCATGTTGTTTCCTGATTAATAGTAAACCAATCCGAAGGAGTCTGAGTTGGGGATGTGCTAGGAGAGAGAATAGAAAAATTAAAAAGCAACTCTAGTGTTAGGACAGAGAACGATGCGGTAGAATAGAAGTACTTGCCAATACCTTTATACTATTTTTTTTTTCTGATTATAAAAGTACTGCTTGTTCCCTATGAAACTTGGAAAACACTGAAAACCCCCAAAAAACAAAACCTCCGCTAATCCCTCCTACCAGATACAATCATTATTAATTTTCGTGGGTGTTCCTCATTAACAACCATTGTGAATGCTTTGGTGGGCATTTTCCTCATTAAAGGACAGATTTGTGAATTTCCTTTTCTCTCGCAGTAGCGAGATTATTGTTTGCATTTCATTAGTGTTCATCTGTGCCATCATTATTGAAAGCTGCCAAGTATCAATCAGTATCAATCAATAGTGGACAGTCTTCAAGGAACTTTGAATGAATCTTAGCCAAGAAGGACCTGCCTGAACTCAGCCTTTTGCCACAGTGACATCCCCATGAGGCCTGTCCCTGGTTCATGCCTACTTGTCCCCCCGGCCACCAGGTCAGGTTGCTCTCATGGACTTTCCTGTTGCCTTTGACCTTGATCTGAAACTGTCCAAGATCTGCTCAGGTCTTGCCTGGACCTGAGACAGACCTTCTGGAGCTTGCGGTCTCGTAACGTTTGTCCTCAATCGAGCATCATCAGCTAATATGGAAGCTGACATTTCCTGCGGGGACCAGTTCTTTGGATCTACTGGCGCCAGAACAGTTAAAACCTGCGAGGTAGCTCTGAGCTTTTGTGGCTGGTGGACGGAGTGCTGCCCCGAGACCTGGAACACCTGGGTTGCCCATGGGACACTGCTACTAATTAGTCCAGTGACCTTGGGAAGAGGACCAACTTTGAGCCTCAGTTTTTTCATCTGTGAAATGGAGAAATAACTTTTCTCCAGCCTAACTCATGAGAGTTGGAAAGGTCAAATGAGATGATGTAAACCGCAGTGCATCCGACAAACCCACGTTACACTTGATAATCGATTTCCTGAAATACCCCAGGGAAAAGGTGCTGACTGAAGTCTCTGTTGTTCTCTCAGACAGAGTGGACTCATCGGCTGCATGAGCTTCGGGGTGAGGTCTCTCCTGACTCCAGACAAGGTGAGTCCTAGGGAAGCTCTGGCCGGGTCATCCACCGGGGCCCAGTTGCTTTGTCTGGAAGCCCTTGGGCAGGGCTTCTTTCTTTGTTAGGTGCCCTGTGGCCTGGATAACAATACTGTGTTTGTCTTCTGTGTGCCAAGGGTTTGGGTCCCTTCTTGATTTATTTTTGTCAGAGAGCAGTTGTTAGGAGCCCCCAAGTCCTCCCAGGAGACTCCGGTTCTGGTGTCTGCCATTAAGGACACTGGTAGGTCCCTTGAAGATCAGAGCACTCCTGGTGCTTCCCTGGAGGAGGAAGGCCAGGTACTACGGTATGCCCCAGGTGTCACCATGATGTTACCTACCAGGTCTTGTGTTTTTGGGCCAAGCAGGTACCCAGGGTGGAGTGAACATCCTCCATGGAGCTATCCTCCTGGCTGGGCGAGGACTCTTTGGGGTCTAGAGACCTCTCCCCTGGGTAGCTAGTCCCTCATCCATCTCTACTCTGCACTGCACCCCCAAACTGGAGGCTTTTGACAGGAGAGGGACATGCTCCATTTGTACATCCCTGGTGATGTCCTGAGGGCCTGCCACACAACGTTGCCAGGTGGCCCGGTCACCCAGCTTTGTGTCCTGGCAGTGAGGTCTCGGGTAGGTGGGTGAGGACCCTTCCTCCTGTATGTGGGTCCCAAGTGTCTTGACTGCAACCTGGGCTTCGTTCCCTGCTGGGAGAAGATGTTCCGCCCTGGAGACTGCTCAGGAGCCTCAGGATGCCTACTTTCTGGCATCTCCCTCCACCCCTCATTCCCTCCCTTCTGTCAACATTTATTGGGCTCCTACTGTATACCAGGCGCAGTGCTAGTCACATCAGTGAGCCTGTTCACCGCTTAGTGGGGGAGGTAGGTGTGCAAGTAGACTGTGCTTCAGGGGAAAAGGCTATGAGAATTCAGCAGAAGGGAGGACCAGCTCTGTTCATTGCATCCGGGAAGGCTTCCTGGAGGTGTAGTCACGACAGTTCCTTGTGGGGCAGAGAGGCTGGAGTGTCCATCTCTGCAGAGGTGCTGCTGCTCTGTGAGGGGTATTGGTGGCTGCCTGACCTGTGCCCTCTGCCTCCTCTGAGTGGGTCATGTCTTCTCTTGTGACAGGAGATCAGTGGCTGGTACTACCTCCTGGGGGAGGCCCTGGGCCGGACCAAGCACCTGAAGGTGGCTAGGCGGCGACTGCGACCCCTGAGAGGTACATGCACACCACCTCAGCTTCTGCCCAGATGTGCTGCCACACTCCCCCTCCCCCCGGACCTCCCCCTGCCCTTCCTGGGTAGTAGCATCAATGCCTGTGTTTTGTGGCAGATGTCATCCCAGCTATGATCAGACCATGGGTCCAGGGACTTCTCTCAAACCCCTGCTAGTATGTGGGCAGCAGGTAGCCTCTCACCCATGTACCTTTCTGTATCTGGTTGGACTTGGATAGGGCTATGGCCTGATCCCATGTGGTTCGGTCCCACCCCTAGCTCAGGGAGGGTGGGCTTCAGGAGCTTCCTACGTGGCCCCTTGCCAGGGCCAGTGGTCTCAGGATCCTCTCCAGCTGCCTTGCTAACTCACCTCTGTGGACAGGGCCGTGGGCCTGGTGAAGGGTCCTGAGGTTCAGGATGTGGATTTGCATTTCCTCTGTTCTGTCCCTTCCATACATAGTCATGGCTCCTGAGCCCCTGCCTGGCCCGAGCTCAGGCGTCCCCACATCCTGGAGGCCAGGAGTGACCTGGGCAGCCGCGTGGGCCTGGCACTTTGGCCTGGGCCTCTGGGTGGTCTATGGGACGGACGCTTATATGCCAGCAGACACTTTCTGATGCTGCTCTGTTGCCTTCCAGAGCCGCTGCTGAGAATGCCAGGAGGTGGGGACACTGAGAACGGGGAAGAACTTAAGGTAGGTGGGGACATGCCTGGGTTGGACTCAAGGGCCTGAGCATTGCTCTGGGTTCGAACCTGCTCTTGGTCAGTCCCTTGGCCCAGGAGACCCCTAAACAGGGCAGCACTCGGTGCCCGGAAACTCCGCGGTTGTGCGTTTTTCAGGGATTATTTCTGACGCTCCTCTCTGGTTACTCGTGCTTGGGGAGAGCCAGGCCCTGGCCCTGGAAATGGAGGAATCCGGATCTTCTTGACTCTCAGGCTCTTGAAGCCGAGTCCCCCTTTCCCCACAGGTCTCCTCACACGCCTTGCTTTCCCTGGAACTGAGGCCCAGTTGGTCTCTCAGGTTAGGGCTGCTCGGTGTCAGGGAGCAGCCGAGAGCCTCACCCTGAGACCGATGGTTCTTGCTCCATCAGAGCTTTGCATCTAGGGGGGAGCCTTCACGTAGGGATGGGAGAATTCCCCCAAATTCTTTCCGTCTCTTGGCAGAACATGGCGGGTGATCCATGGGTGTCTTCAGTAACTTAAGAGAAGGAGAAACAAACTCCTGACCTAGAGACGTAGCCCCGTGTGCCAGGTGTTGTAGTTGAATTTAATCCCGACTCCCACCTCCGAGGGGCTTGTCACTTCCCCGTCTCACAGATGCGGGAGATGTGTACGGTTCAGAGATGTCCCTGCCCTCATGGAGCGGACAACCTACAGCCTACAGCAGTGATGGCGAACCTATGACACGCGAACTCATTTATTTGGTTGATTTTTCTTTGTTAAGTGGCATTTAAATATATAAAATAAATATCAAAAATATAAATCTTTGTTTTACTATGGTTGCAAAGATCAAAAAATTTCTATATGTGACACAGCACCAGAGTTTAGTTAGGGTTTTTCAAAATGCTGACACGCCGAGCTCAAAAGGTTCGCCATCACTGGCCTACAGCCATGCTTTCCAATATGGTAGCCAGCCACTGCCTGCCTGTGGCTACTGAGCCCCTGAAATGTGGCTAGTCTGACCGAGGCCACTTTAATTTAAATTCACCTTGCACATGTATCTAGTTGCTACTGTATTGGATAGCGCTGTGTTAGAGGAACTGGTCAGTTACTGTTTTGTATGTGGCTTTCTTAGTCGTTTAAAACTGTCTTCTAGCTGCAGTGGGGGACCTGCAGTGACCTCTCTCTCTCTCTCCGTACTTGTGGTCACAGAGGACAGTGAGCAGGGAGCCTCGCTGGTGATCTGTGGGGGCCACAGGGACACCCACACTGCAGACTTCCAGGTGGCTTGGGAAGGCTGCTTCTGCACACAGGCCTTGGGCCCAGGGCGCATTGTTCTGAGGCGCATTTGATTTCCCTGGGCTTGCACCCCCGAAGTTGTCTGTAGGACTCGGCCAAGGGGGCATGATTGTTGGAGGCTTTGTTGGGGTGGGCGAGAGCCCCCCAACCCCAAAGTCACCTGTTCAACTTGTCCATTGTGTGGATGGGGAGATGGAGGCCCAGAAACCTGGATGACCTGTCCGCTGTCATGACAACCAAAGCTGGGCTGGATGAAGGGACCCTTTCTGGCATCAAGGATGTGGGTGAGCGGGGTGTTTCCCCAGGGACTCTGAGGTGGGTGTAAGCTCACCAGGTGCTGTGCTACAGGACAGGGAACAAGCATGGAGTTTTGGTCCCAGCTCCTTGCTACCCAGCTGTGTGACCTTGACTGCTCCAGGCCTTAGCTTCTTCATGGGTAAAATGCGGAGGCTGGACCATCTGGTGATTGGAAACCCCTCCCAATTTGCCTTTATGGGCTACTCAGACCTGAAAGCAGCCCACTTACTAGGGTGAGGAAGCTGGCTTTTAAGTAGCTGCTGAGTGGCAGGCAGGTCCTCAGACTCCAAATGTTTCATGTTCCCTGTGGTGAGCTGGTACGTCTGAGGGCACAACCCCCTGAGCCGGGCTTCGATTCCGTAGGCTGGGTTGATCCCCTGGATTTGCGGGGGAGAGGGGGGACCCTGGGATTTGCAGGGAGAGGCAGCACTGGTAGAGAGTGGGCCGTGTTTTCTGCCCGGACTCTCCTGTGGCCAGGGGTGTTTGTGAGAACACTGGAATCACCAAGCGGCCCACGGCGGAGAATGCAGCCAGAACAAAGGCGCCCTCTCCCCGCTGGGCCCGGGGAATACTAACTAGTTGACAGGAATTTTAATATAAAACTCTCCCTCTTCCTTGTCATTCTGAGGTTTCAGGAAGCCTTCGGGCTTATCACGCAGAGGCACACAGCGCAGACAGGGCCTGGGGAGGTGAGAGGTGATTTCCTGCCATTCTTCTGCGGGGCGGGCTTCCCAGGGCGGTCATGCCAGGCTGACGGGGCGCAGTGCGGGCTCCTGCTGCTGGGGGGAGAGCTGGGTTTTCATGGGGCAGCCGCGGAGCAGGACCTGCAGCCATGAACCGCTTCAACGGGCTCTGCAAGGTGTGCTCGGAGCGCCGCTACCGCCAGGTGGGTGCTCGGCCCTTTGAGGGGCGGCATGGGGTGTCCCTGGGGGTCAGGGTTGGGGGCTTAGCCTAGCAGGACTTCTCTCCCCTCGTGGCCGTCCTTGTCCCCTCCTGCGCCTTTGCGGGTTCGTTTTGATTTAAGGGGAGGACAGAGGCAGGAGCTGGACCTGAGACCCAGCCTTCGCCCACTGCCCCTCTCTCTAGGGGCCGGTGGGGTCCAGCTCTGTGTTGTCCTAACCAGTGGCTGGGTGGCGTCCCTCGTGAGATTACTGATTGCTTTTCTGTGTTCTTATTTTGTGGCAGCGTGGTTGTTAAAAAACTGCCCCAGGCCTGAGAAGGCAAGTAGCTAAGTTGCTCAGCCGCCGGGGTTTGTGGGTTTTTTTTTTTGCTACCCTTGTATTTTTGCAAACGTTCCCTACTTCCGATGGGACAGCAGTGCCTGTCCTGCATTGTGTGCGCGTGTGTGTGATTGTGTGACTGTTTCTGCCTGAGTCAGTGCGCGCCTGCATGTGAGATAGGATGTTTCTGTTTCTGGGCGCACATGAGATTTTTCTCGTACACGCTCACCCATGGACATGCACACAGGACTTTCCTCCCCATGGATACCTTGAGGCGGATCCGGAGTCCTCTGGCTCTGGAGCCCAAGTTCACCAAGAGGGTCTGGCCTCTCAGCCTCCAGTCTTAGGACGTAGGGCAGAGTGGGAGCGAGGATCCGTTAGTCTCTGAGTTTCTTCTGTGATGGACATTTTCCCTTAAAAAAAAAAAAAAAGCCACGGGGTCAGTGAGGGTGCAGGCAAGGGATGTCCAGATTTTGGGAATGGGAGCTAAGAAATGGTTCCGATTGTGTAAGTACAGAAAAGTCCCTCTGTGTGTTTTCATGCACAGACTGAAACCTGGGTCTTGGCTCCTTGGGACAGGCAGCCTTAGGGGCAAGGGAGATGCCCAGAGGGGTCTCCTGCACGGCGGCCCCACAGCCAGAGACCCACAGGTTCTCCCTTTAGTCCTCCCTCCCTGCACGGCCCCACCCTGCCCTCCCACCCTCCTGGAGCCAGGCAGAGTGGCCCCTGCCTCACCGGGGTGGCGGAGTGGTTTAGGCTGCGAGGGCACTGGATGGGAGGTCAAGAAGTCCTTGGTCACCTTGGGACTACAGGCACCTTGCAGTCACAATGGGGCCCGGCAGGAGTGTGGGCTGGGCCTGGGGCTCTGGGGCTCAAGTTCAAGGCAAGCCTGCGCTAGGAACCAGGGCAGTATTGAGGGCACCAGCTTTTTGTCAGACCCGGACTGAGGTCCAGCCCTGCCTTTTTCAGCTGTGGCCCTTGAGCACGTCACTTTTCTTCCCCGAGTCTCAGTCTCCCCGTCGGTGGAAAGGGATGCTAATGCCCAGGGGATGATGCTGGAGAATAAATGGAGTGTTGTGTGTAGCGCCTGCCAAGGCATCTGGTATAGTCCATGAGTGGGGCAGCTGGAGATGAAGTCTGGGCGTGGAAGAGCCCAGAAACCAGGCAGGAGGGCAGAAGGGAGGTGCGGCCACGGGTGAGATCCAGGAGCAGTGGCGGTTCCTGCCCCAGACAGGAAAGAGCAAGGACCACCCCCAGGAAGGACGGCCTCTGCCAGGAGCCACCACCGAGGTCCCGGACTCAGGGCGGGGCTGCTCTCCTCACCTCCTGACCCCGAGGCCTGAGGTCAGAGAGGAGGACGGAGAGCGGGAGGCTTCACTTTCTTCCTCTTTAAAACCAGCCCTGCCTTCCACTCAGGGCTGCAGTGAGGCTCAGGTTCTTGGGGCCCCGCCTTTTCAGCGTGGCCAGTGCTCACGATGGCCAGAGAATAATGCTGTTTCCTTCCCTCGGTCCCGCCCTTTGCTTCCTCACGCCCTCTCCTCTTCCCAGCCTTCCCCACCCCCAGCTGTCTTGGACCAGGGACCCGGCTGGCTCTTCTTAGGCCAGTGCCCAGGAAGGCAGAAGGCGCTCCAGTCCACGGTGCCACCTGGATGAGGAGACCAGGGTGTGGATGTGGGAGGCTGCTTTGCTGGAGCACACAGTTCAACTCCAGACTCCGCTCTGGAGCCAGTCCCTAATTGTCAGCACCGTGCCTGAAACAGGGGGCTAGGACCCGTGTCCAGAGCCTGCGCCGAGGCCAGAGGGGCGGTGGGCCTGGTGGGGTAGGACGAGGGGAGCGCTGGCAAGACTTTGGAATCCCAGCTTCCGCCTGGGTCGCGGGTGAGTCGCCAGGCCCCTAGGATCCCTGGTCGTGTGGAGTGGACCTGGCTCCTGACAGCTCCCCTCGGCCTCGGCCTGGCTTTCCGCACTTACTCCAGCGTTTGTTTTTCTTTCTTTCTTTCCATTTTTTTCTCTTCCTGTCTTAGCTGCGTGTTTTCCCAGAATTCTTATGGGAACAGGGTATTTTCCTGCCCCCTCCCCCCTCCCCTTGTCTGTCAGATTTCCTGTTTTAAAAACTCTGCTTTGAATCCAGTCCCAGGGCTGGTGGGAAGCAGAGCCTCAGGGGCCTCCTGGCAGCTTCCAAGCGCCTTGGCCACCCTGGGCCCCTGGCCCTCCCCTTCCTCACGCCCGACCTTGGGGACAGCTGGCAGGTGAATGCCAGGCACCTAGCCTTGAAGAGAATCTCCTGACAGGCGGGCAGCCCTGACCTTTCCAGGCTTGCTGAGCTGGCTTCTTTCCCAGCCTGCCTGGGACACCCTCCCTGTGCCTCGCCAGGGCCCACTCCATCCGCTTCCAGGGGGTCTCTTGGAGCCCCCTTGAACCTGTCTTCTGTTGCTTTCATGCACCTGTTCCCAGCAGCTTGGAATCTCTTTTGGGTGGGCCAGGCTGGGCCTTCTGCACTCTGCCCAAAGCCTAATTGGGGGAGCATAGAGGAGGAGCACAGCAAGACGGAACTGAATTGAGTCAGCAGACTGTATTGCACCCCCCGCCCCTGCCAGCCCCCAGCTCCCCACTGCCAGTGGGGTGCTGCTGGGCTGTCCTCATTAACTTAGCACTTGCTGCGTTCCTGCGGTGCGTGAAGCCAAGCACACAGAGCCATTCCCAGCTCGACCTTCGTGTTTTGCTATAATACTTGTCATGTCCTGCTTTGCTTCGGAAAGACTTGTGTGCCCTCATGTCTCTCTGGGAGCCAGAGACCCAGGCCTCATGCGTCCATACCTCAGCTGAGCCTGGCATGCAGCAGGAACTCAATAGCTGCCTTGTAAAGAGCATCCGATGGTACAGCCCTTCCAGGGGGCTTCTGAAAGGAGGGCTTGTGGAGCT